ATATATATATATATATATATATATACATATATATATATATATATATATATATATATATATATATATGTATATACACATATATATATAATATATATATATATATATTTATATATATATGTATATACATATATATATATACATATATATATATATATATATATATATATATATATATATATATATATATATATAATATATATATATATATATATATATATATATATATATATATATATATATATATATATATATATATATATATATATATATATATATATATATATATATATATGAAGAGTGTATTTTCAAAATGCGGTATATCCATTTTTGTGGTATTGAGATAATTGACTTTTTTCGCCACACCAACATGTCTCGTATATTTGGAAAAATTATTGTTTCTTAATGTATATATACATAAAATATATTATATAATGCTAATAAATAAAGTATTAATAAATTAAAAAATTTATTTTTTTTGTCAATAAGTTTGCATTTATTTTCAAAATACTGTATATCTGATTAAAGCTTGTTAGCAAAATGCGGTATATCCATTTTATAAAGATGTTATGGAAAGTTTATAAACTTTAAAAGACCTGAATAAGTTTTAATGTTTAATTTTATTTAACATATTGAACAAATATGTGTATTTAATGTTTGGTCATTATATTTTATTGATAATGTGAATGTAAACAATGTTCTATTAAAGTAATGTAAACTATTATATTTCACAATTCGCAATAGTAAATTTAAATTTTTCGGAGAGTTAAATATGGACAATAAACAATAATATTTTTTTAGTGTTCTGTAGTTGTAACAATGATATTTTTAAGTACCCATAGAATTAATGAACAATTAATATAACATAAAAGTCATCGTTATATTTTTTAACAAAATAAAATTTTAAAAATGAAAGACTGCAATAGTCTTATTTTATTTGCAACAAAGCAATTGTTGGTTTAACAAAAAATAAAAAGGAAGTATTATTATTGAATGCTTTCCATTAAAAAATAGGTAACAAATATATTTAAACTTATTAATTTAAGTTGCCTTTTTAATATATTTTCTATCATTATTCCATAATTAGTTCAGTTAAACAAACAAAGCATGATAGTTTTTTTTTTTTTTTTTTTTTAACATCTTCACTTCCAACAAGGCTGCAAGCAACCACTATAAGAGTTGGAAGTTACTAAAAGAGAAAAGACTAAAACTGTAGAGCAAGATAACGATTGACTGATGACTTAAAAGATTGCAAATTATATGAATCAGGAAAGCAAGATGAAGGAAGCGAATTCCAAAGAACTGATGTTCGAGGAAAAAAACTAGAAGAATAAGAGTTTTTGAAGCACTTAGGAACAGTCACAGAAAAAGGATGAGACTTAATTGAATGGCGAGTAACACGAGAATGAATTTTAGTAGATGGCACAAGGGACGCTAGCTCTTTAGAGCAGTGCCCATTATAGTATTTGTAGAAAAGAGAAAGAGAAGCAACATTACGACGATGTGACAAAGGTTGGAGATTGGCTGCCAGAGCAGGTCCAACTATGTTTACAATTCGTTTTTGCACCTTGTCTAAAAGAGAAAGAGCATCATTAGAAGATCCGCCCCAGATGTGGCAACAGTATTCCATACAGGGACGGATTTGAGATTTATAGAGATAGAGAATAGAATCTGGAGTAAGAAAGTGTCGAGCTCGATAAAAAGATGCAACCTTAGCAGATGCTAATTTTGCAATGGATTTGATATACGGTTTAAAAGAAAGATCAGAAGTAAGAGTTAATCCTAGAAGATGAATGGTAGATGACTCATCTAGTACATTACCATTCATAAATATAGGAAGATCTAAATTATTACGATAACGATGGGCCAAATAAAATTGAGTTTTATCTGAATTAAAGTTCACCAGCCACTGTGAGCCCCATGCTGTAGCAGAAGTGAGATCCTTTTCAAGCTCAGATACCCCCTCCAAGCAATCAGAGAGTGTAGGCTTCTTATCATGACAAGAGTAAATGGTAGTGTCGTCAGCGAATAATGCCACCTTAGATGTGAGAATATCTGGAAGATCGTTAATGTAAATTAAAAAGAGTATAGGGCCAAGGATTGAACCTTGAGGAACCCCTGAAGTTACAGGATGTGAAGAAGAGTGTTGTCCATCAAGGACAACTTTTATACTACGATTGGAAAGAAAGGACTCAATAATCTTAAAGACGTTACCAGATACACCATAAGAAGAAAGCTTATGGAGAAGACCAGCATGCCAAACTTTATCAAAAGCTTTAGAAATGTCAAGTGCGATAGCCTTAACCTCTCCACCTCTATCTAATGCACGGTAAAACCTATCGGTTATTACTGTTAGCACATCAGCTGTAGAACGAGAAGACCGAAATCCATATTGATGATCAGAAAGTAAGTTATTTGATTCAAGATGAGAGATTAAGTGTTTGTTGATTAAAGATTCAAAAACCTTGCTTATGACAGGAAGAAGACTAATGGGACGGTAGTTAGATGAATCAGATCGCTCTCCGGAATTTTTGAAAATAGGGATAACAGATGCTGCTTTCCAGCATGATGGAAAACAAGACTCTGATAAGCACTTGTTAAATAGTTTAGAAAGTATGGATGAAAGCTCCGGAGAACACCTCTGCAAGACTACAACAGGAATGTTGTCAGGACCACAAGCTGTTGAAGAGTCTAAGCAGGAAATTACTTTAGATACAGAAGCTGAAGTGATGCCAATCTCAAGCAAGGGATCAACCTGTTTGACGGCTATGTCAGGTAGAACGCAACTAGTGGAATCAAGAGATGATATTGATGAAAAGTTCTTTGCAAACAACTCAGCTTTGTCTTTAGGTGAGGTGACAAAGTCTGAACCATACAAGAGAGAAGGAATAACAGATTTGCCCTTATTATTGATACTGTTAAAGATTCTCCAGAAGTCTCGAGAGCCTAATTTTTGTGATGAGATACGAGATTTAATGACCTGGGAATAGCGAGCTTTGGCGTCAGACAAAACCTTTTTACAATGGTTTCTAGCGATAGTGAACAGATGTCTGTTTTCTGGAGAATTGTTTTGCTGATAGATATGGAAGTAACGGTTTCGATTAGAAATTGCTGCAGCGCAATGTGAGGAAAACCAAGGAGAAGAGTGAGGCTTGACCTGGAATCGTCGAGAGGGAATAAAAGATTCCATGCCAGCCTGAATCCACGAAGTTATGTAAGAAGCACATTTGTCAGCAGGAAGACGAAAGATTTCTACCCAAGGGCCATCACGAAGAAAATCACGGAAAGAGTTCCAGTCAGCTTTAAGGTAGTTGTATGTGGTACGATGATAGGGGGATTCTGATGAAGTAGAAGAATTTGATAATAGTTTTAGAGAGATCAAACCGTGATCAGAAGTACCTAAGGGTGAATGTGGAGAAATTGAGCACTGACTAGGATCCAAAACAAGACATAAGTCGAGTAGAGAAGGTAAATGATTAGAGTTGTCTGGAAAACGAGTTGGAAAGTTGACTATTTGAGTTAGAGATTGAGAAAGGCAAAAGTTGAGGGCCTTAACGCCAGCAGAGTCACTGACACTAGAGCCAAGCCAATCGGTGTGATGGGCATTAAAGTCACCAACAACAACGATATTGGCCGATGGATAAAGAGAGAGGGCTTGGTCAATTTGATCAGAAATAACATCAAGAATAGTGCAATCTTGGGATGAAGGAGAGCGATATAGAACAAAGAGAAAGGCCATAGAGTGAAGTTGTGCTAATTGAAAGCACATAAATGAATAGTCTGGAGATTCAAACCTAGTTTCATGACAAATGGGTGAGTTCTTACGAATGTAGATGCCCAGGCCAAGCATGTGATTATTGGAGTCTTTACGAATTAAAGGAAAATAACCATCAACACTAAGATCACAAGATGGGACAGCCGAACTCAAATTAGTCTCACAAAGAGCAAGTAGGTCTGATGAACTTTGCAAGAGATAAGACTCAACAGAAGAAAAGTTACTTCGAAGACCACGAATATTAGTAAATGATAGGTTTAGAGAACTTGGTGATGACGATGGTTTTTTGTGTTTATTAGTTTTAGGTACTTTAGTCATTTTAAATTTATAAAGAACTTGACTCAAGTATAGATAGTACTCAGTACACTATTTAACAACTAAGCAATAGCCTCATTACTATTAATAAACCTTAAGCCGTAGCAAAGGGCTCCAAATGTGGCCTCTGCAATGCACACCAAAAGTACAAACAGGGACACCATCCATGCGCAACATGGCACTGTTAGTACTGATATTTTTCGGCTGTTGATGGAATCAGCCTCTCTGAGAGCTACCACAGAGTTCGGGAAACCTGACTACCAGCCGGCCTCAGAACCATAAAACTGAGTTTTAGAGCTGTACCCTCATTAGGAGATAATAGAATGAGTTGCCCAGTCATAAAAATAGAGACACAAGCAATACCCACGCATTGAGTCAAGAAGATCCAGCGTTCAACATCCTAAACTGGAAACAATGTATTAAAAATACATCTGCGCCAGCCTAATAGATGAGTTTAAACAAACACTAGAATTACGAAATGCTTTTCTTTTCTTTTGTTTCATACATTATATCTTTTTTTCTATGTGAAATAGGATATTAGGTAACGCATTAATCTTGTCCATCGCAATCCGCCATTTCTTTAACGCAACTTTAAAATATTTGCGCTTGTGCAAAAGTAATATACATTTGCCACGGATTGGTCAAAATAAATACAGCATTTTGAACATATAAAAAATTTTATAACGCATTTTGAAAATAAATGTTTTTTAGAAGTAGAAAAATATTGGGTTATACTTCGTTTAGCATATAATCGGACATAATATTTGCTAGGTCCTTATAAACTAAAAATAAACCACACAATTTCTAAAAAAATTTTTAAATGGTGTTTACCGCGTTTTGAAAATAAACTCTTCATATATATACACACTCAAATCAATTTTATTTTTAAAAACTAATGTTTTCTGATAAATACCTTTCATTTGTTTTTCTACTGAAAATCTTGATTTCATGTCAACTTTAGTAGCTAATTTGTTGACCACATCATGCAAAATATGGTTGACAAGAACAGTTGGAGGCAAAGAAGATTGAATGTCTACTACACGTATTTTCCATTTTTTTATGTTGACTATAATATTTGGATTAACAGGATCACGTATTTGTGCTAAATAACAAATTTAAAACTGAAAAATGATTATTACAAATTAAAAAATTTTACTAAAAAAAAATATTTAGTTGTTGCAAACTATTGGAACTGTAAATCACGCAGTTATTGGCGTTCAATTATTTAAAACTCTTTTAAACTTTAAATTTTACTTAAACCTTCTCAAATTTAAAAATAAATCTAAATTTTATACTTTTTACACTTAGCACACTAAATTTTATATTGTAAAACTTTTAAAATAAAAAATTTATACCATTAAATAAAGATGATGAACTGATAGGTGTACTGTGTAACTTTAAAATATAAGAAAAAAGTAAAGATCTTGTATAAAGTTTGTGTATTAGTAACTTGTTTATAGTAAAAGTTTATTAGTACGTATCTAGAAAAATTATTAGTAACTGATAGTATGTATCTAGAAAAATTATTAGTAACTGATAGTACGTATCTAGAAAAATTAAGGTTATTTGGGTATGCAAAGTGGAAGCAGTTTTTAGAGAAATATTTACCTTTTAACTAGAAGTAAATATACATGGAAAGAATCTGTTACATAAATGTCGATGATGATAATAAAGTTTTATGTTGAATACTTTATGTTGAATTTAAACTGATTACTTAATACTATGAAATGCTACTATAACAATTACTTATGTTGCATAAACAACAGGCAAATGTTCTATAGTTAAATACAGCGATTTTTATATTATTATTTAAATAATATATTAAATTTTTTTATGAAAATAATAATAAAATAAGACTTCAATCATTTTCACCACCAGTAAAATAAAAAAATCTAAATAAGTTAACAAAAAAATTGAATAGATATAATTTACAAAACATCTAAAAAGTCATAGACCCATTAAAAATTTGAGCATTTGTATATTCCTGATGCTATTTTCGTTTTCGTTTATCAATGATGATTTGAGATCAACAGACAGAAAGATCAATGTTGTTCTGTCTGTTTTTTTTTTAATTCAAAAAGTTTTAAATTATACAATGTAAAACTCTGTTAAAATCATTATTTTAGATGGACTGTTTTTAATTCATATATTTGCAAATCAAAAATCTTATAAACATATCAAAGTTATCTTTATTATATTAAAAATGCAAAATAAAAATTTGGTCATTTGCCCTGGAAACAATTTTAACACACGTTCATCAGAACTACACTAATGCTAAAAATTTTAGAGCTTCAGTTTGTCTAGAAAATATTGAAAAAAATTACAAAATTCCTCTACAAAAAAGTGAGCCCCTGACCCATCCCTCTTTTCCTTGGAGTATTAAAATCAATTTCAATACTCCGCTACAAAAAAGTGGGAACCGTACCTTGTTATCCATAAATGGAAATCCATATAATTGCAGATGAAAATCGTTATATTTTTTGAAAGATCAATAAATATAAAATGATGTGTAATATATATTTTTTTGATATCATCAAGACCACATAGGTTTCTAGAGCATCTAAATCAGGTATATAAAAATAGTCTAAATTTATTTAAATTGATAAATACAAGTGCTTAAAAATAATTTTTTAAATTTCTGATCATTCATTGGATTCGCCACCCCTGAAAATAGCCAGGCATAATTTTTTAAGTAAAATGATCAAATATTTTAAAAGTTATGTAACTTTTTTTTTTTTTAATTATTTACCTCCCCAAGGCCCGAGGGGGCCATTACAGTCAAGGAGGCTACTTTTTTTTTTTTTTTTTTTTTTTTTGTTGTAAATCGTGGTACAACCCTCTCTCAACTCTTTAACTCCGAAACACGAACCTTGACAAGCAAGACTGCTGCGCGGAGAAATTAAGTTGAGCGTGGTACTTCCAGGGACATGGTGGGAGTCGAACTCTGAACCGCTCTTACCACTACACCACTGCCGCATAACTTGAAACCTATAAATAAATGTTGCAAATATAAGGGGACAAGAGGGACCTGGCCAACATATGGTAAAACTAAAATGATCACATTTCAGGATCTTCTTGGAGCTAAAGGCTAAAATTTATTTTACTAAGTACTCCTAACTGTATAAAAATCAGCAAAATTTGAGATTTTGAGAGCTTGTGTTAATGTAAAACAACTTTATTGACGCTTTATTGCTGATTTATGCAGTTTAAACTTTAATAACATAAAACGTGTTTAAAATAAAACAAAGTAAATAAATTAATCTAATTATATTTATAACATTATTGTCATAAAACTTTGAACTTCATATATATGTGCAAAAAGCATGCCATATAAGCAGGGCCGGCGCGAGTAGCTGTCGCATGGGGGGAGGAGGTTATGCTATTACATTTTTTGTCAACTAAAAAAAAAAAAGTACTTTTTCAAATGCCTTAAAGGGATCCCAAACTCCGAACACATGTTGTGTTCATATTAAAGATATTGTTAAAAAAAAAAGGTTTGAACCAAGTTCTTTTGATTAAAAATAAATAATGAATGCATACTGAGAAAAACTAACGTTGTTGTTTTAACCAAAGCTCGCCTTCTCCATTTTTTTCAATAACTTGGAGTCTTTAAACTATACGTCGCAATCTACAGACTTTGGCGATTCCTTTGAAGCGCGTTTAATTCATAAAAGTTTTAGTATTTGACGTCATGGTAGACTTTCAACAAATGAAACTCTGGAAATATTTTTATTCATTTTTTTTTCGAACTTTTTTTGATTATTTGTTAAGTTTTTTTTTTTTCTATTTTTAACATTTAAAAAGATATTAAAAACCTCAAATATTTTATGCTGGTTCGTTGCTATAAATTGTTATTGCGCCATATATTTAATGTTTATAAATTATGAATACTTATAATCTCAATCAAGACTCTGATAAAAAATTGTTTTACATTAATTACCCTTATAAAATTAGTAAAAGCATTTTTATTTGGTTAGATAATATTTCGTCTCGATTTGCTTTACATGAAGTTCGGGAAGTCAAGCAAAAAAAATTAGTTTGAATAATCACTTTGAAATATATTCAAATAAAATTATTTTAATGATGGGGGTTTAAAAGTTTTTTATAACAATGGTAGGTAAAAAATAAATAATTAAATAAAAAGTTCAACATTAAACATCATTTCTTTATTATATTGCAACTGTAAATATTGAAATATTAACTTGAACTAAATTTACTTTATATTTAGAACGATTAGGCAATAAAAATAAAAAGCCCCTAAAATTATGCGCTATTGTGTTGTTTATTAGATAATTGCTATTGGTAACATTGTTTATGTTGATTATTTTCATTAATATCTAAATAGTCCCAGATTAATCTGTTAGTTACTTTGTTCATTGAAGCTTTATTTCTAATTTAATTTTATCTCTAAGTATAAATTCATGTTAGGAAAGAAAAGTTTTTATTTCATCGCTCGCTCTTTTTATAAAAGATTAGAACTAAAGAGAAAGAAAAGTTTTGCGTAATTAAACTTCGAATGAATAAAAGAGTTGTATAAATTTTTTTTTTTTTTCGTGTCAGTCGTTTTTTTTATAGATGAGAGAAATAAAAGTTTAATAGTAACTTTTCTGTGAATAAATGAAAATTGGAAGAGAAAATTGCTTGAAAATTTGTATTTGTTGTGTTTTAAATTTTTTTTAATTTTTCATGTTAAGAGACAAATGCCAAATACAATACAAATTGGGAAATACCAAATATAATATGTTTTTTAATCCGGGTTATGACATTTTGACAATTTAAATTACCATTTATCTTGAATTATTGCCATTAATTAATGTGTTAATTATTGCGTTATATAATAATAATTAGTCCGTATTTTTGTTTGTATAAAATGGGCAAAAATATACAAACTTCATGTTTTTTATTTGATGATTATAAAATATTGAACAGTAAAATAATAATCAAAATTTATAATGCCGACTTGTGTTGTTACTAATTATACTTTTAATCCAAAACCAGGATCTCACATATCCTTTCACGAATTTTCATATCTGATACTACTGTCAACTGTATTATTTAGTGTATTCTTGTACTTTTTTTTCATAACCTTAACAGGTTCTAATTGGTATAGAGTTGCCGACATTTCAAAAGTTTCATTATCAAAAATCAAATGTAAAATAAAATGATATTTCTTTCTTATTTGTATCCAATTTAGCAAATTTAGCAATTTAAAATAAATTAGCGTAATCAAAAAATTTTTATAATAAAAAAAGTTAACAATTCATCATATATAATTCATACTGTCAATTTATGAAATCAATTGCTAATACTTTTTTTCGACGGGAAAACAAAAAATATCATAGCGTAAAAATAACCAAAGAAGTTAGAAAAAAGTTCCCATTGTTTAAATAAAAAAAAGTAAGATTCAGAATATATAATACTGCGCTCTCTTGCACAAAAACGAGAGACCGTATACATAACGTTCTATATAATGTAAAACACTCGTATGAAAATCATAAGATTTGTAAGTAAAGCTTTAATATTTCTTTTAATTTAAAAACAAAAGAAATATAAGTAAGATATATAAATCTAGAAATTATTAAGATATTGGTAAAAAAAAAGTTCCTCTTATGAAATAAAAAGCTATTATTATTTTTGATTTTTACAAAAATTTGTTGTAAAAGTTGTTTTGCTGTGTGTTAAAAATTTTTTTTTTGAATTAAAACAGAAAAACGCAGCTTTCTTTAATTACACTTTTCTTTTGTTAAAAATCTACCATGACATCAAAAGTTAAAACTTTTATGAAATAAACGCGCTTCAAAGGAATCGCCAAAGTCTGTATTACGACATTTAATTTAAAGACTCCGAGTTATTGAAAAAAATAGAGAAGGCGAGCTTCGGCTAAAACAAGAACATTAGTTTTTCTCGGTATGCATTCATTATTTATTTTTAATCAAAACAACTTGGTTCAAACCTTTTTTTTTAACATTATCTTTAATATGAACACAACATGTGTTGGGAGTTTGGGATCCCTTTAACAACATTTGCAGCTTAACTCTGAACAGAAGTAAAATAATTTATAAATTTAAATTTAAATTTTTATAATTTTATTTTTATTTTAGC